TTGTTTTGCTTTTATGGCATTTCTCGAAAGCAATTCATTCAACTTGCATTGTGTTCCCGAATGTTGTTTTTGTTTTTTCAGTCTTAAAGAAGTGGTTTTTCTTCTTCAAATTCTTATTGATTGATATTTACATCAAAATATCCCTTCAACTCAATGGTGGGACTCATATTTCGTTTCATTTTTTTAGATGAACGCCATTCCATTCAAATCGTCGTTGGGGTTAAGGTGTATCTAACTTAGGCTGACCTTAGGCTAACTTAGGCACCCAGGTCAAACTTCTGGCCGTTTATTGATCTTGTGATCATATATGATAATAGTGTATTGATAACAAAGTTATAATGAATGGCTTTTGTAATGATATAACGGTAAGGCACTGCTAATTTTTTTGTATATACTTGAGACCTTTGAGACGTAGATAAGAGATAATTGTGTAAATAAATATTTATTATAATTAAATATAATTATTAATGATATTATTATTGAAGATATTCTCTGACTTACATACATCTGATCTTTTAGCCATTTAAATGAACCATCCCTGCTGGCTTACAATGAAATATTTTTATGGCTGCTACTACTTAGTGCTGTTGCATTTGCTGATAGTGTAATAGTTTTTTTGTGGTTTACTCCCTTTGTTTTATTGTTTAATAATTTTATTATTCAATAATTTAATCGCAATTTTTATTCCTGCTGTTATTGTTATAATCATAATTACAGTCGTCTTATATTATTTTCAATTAAATTTTTTTGTACCATTTGTAGCCACACACACAAACTGCTTCATTCATTCTTTTAATTCTGAGAACGGAAAGATTTTAAAATGTTAAAAATTCGAGTTAGGGGATATATTTTCAAGTTTTTGTATTAGTTATTAAATTGTTGTTTATATGGTAGCTCTGCTAGTAGAAGTGCCGGCTAGTGCCATTCCTACAGAAATCAATGACGTTGTCATCTGGTTCAAATGCAGACTTTGCGAAAATAAAATTGCATCTTTAAACATGGGTATAGGATGTTGGATGTTATTTATTTGTACTTTTATTAACAAAGTTGAAAACTGCTCCTGCAATGAGTTTGGTATTCGTAATATTTTTTGTAGTTTTGGGCTACCATATTTTACCTGATCTATAAAGAAATGTTTTTTTTAAATAATTCACAGAATATATTATAAAATGGACTATTGAAATTAAACGCCAACTATGTGTGGCGTACACTTGAAGGTTAATGAATAGTTATTCAAAAATATTTGACGCTAATTTGGCCAATACACAAGTTCTGACTTAATAAGATGCTACCTTAAGCTTGTTGATTAACGCCATGAGACTTGATACTGCTTTCTACAGTTTTAGCATTCCTTGATTTTCGATCATATTTCATTTATTGGCACATTTAGTGTTGTAGCAGTTCTAATTGGATTCTTAATTAGTGATAATAATGTTTGCTGGTTGGTTTTGTCATTAAATTTTACCTTGGATTTGATTATCAATAATGTATGTTGTACTTTTTGCACAGTAATTGTAGTAGAAGCAGTAGTAGAAAATACAATAGTAGTGGCATTTGTAGTAAATGTATTTGAAATAGTATTAGTGGCTAGTATGGCCAATTACAGGCCAAGAAACGAGAATGAATTGTACATTGCATTTTTTAGGGCATCTTGAATGTAAGTATATTATTGATTTATTTCTTATCAATCTACAAATATATGTTTCTATAAGTTTGTGTATATTTGTGTGAATGTATGCCTATGATTTGGGATTTATCAGTTGAGTTATATTCTACCAGCAAAATATTGAATTTGCCATTATCATTATCATTACTATTATTATTAAAATTATTTCTAAAGTTTTATTTCCTACAAATGACTTCTCTTGTATAATTTATCTATCGAAAAATCGAAAATCCTAATGATCTCATTAAATTTTGTTACTTTACATATATATATATATATATATATATATATATATATATATATATATATATATATATATATATATATATATAAGCAATATTTGATAAAATCTAATCAACTTTGCGCAGAGGCAGTACCATAGCCAGTGAGGTTCATCCGAGGCGTGGTTATTGCTAGTTGAAAACTAAACCCAATACCCCGCGATGACCCCGTGCAATACCGGGGTCAATCGCAATTTCTGTTTTAGCTTCTAACTCACGGGATCGTGTTTCAATTATTGACACACTTAAAATATAATATTTAATCCAATATATATATATATATATATATATGCAATTATCGATAAAAATCACAGTATGTTCTGCATCACTTTGCTTCTTGTTATCGAAACATACACTCATACACTGAACGTGTGCATTCACATACATACCCACATGTACACACAAACAGGCGTACATAGATACACGTACATTCATTGTACAAACGCACGCATATCCACACTTACACATACAAATGATCTTAACTTGGCATTGCGTGTATTTTTTGTATGCCATCTCATTGTATTTGTGTGCTTTTTTTCAGTAGCTTTCACATCCAGGCAACTCGTTGATGGGTATTTATGTGTTGTCCCTGGGAGATATGAATGAATTGTTGATGAATTCCTGATGAATTCCTGATGAATTTTTGATGAATTGTGGTGTAGGTACTTGCATGCACGTACGTTTGCAACTTAGGCAAGCTAATGATGATGCATATGTAGTTATTGTTCGCCAAAAATGTTTTTAATGTTTCATTGTGGTGTTATTTTGTTGGCTTGTTTTGTTTTACTGTTTTGTCTGTGTGTGTATGTGTGTGTGTTTTTTGTGCGTCTGTGTATGTTTGAGTGTATGTGTATGTCTGTCTGTGTGTAGGCGCGTGTGTGTGTTTATCCGTGTTTGGGTTTTCCCGCATTTGCTGGCTGCCTGATTTATGAGCGTGTACTTATGATGTAAAATTATTAGATTTTTTAGATTTTTCTACGAAATGCTTTTTTAATTTTTTTTTAGAATGTCTACAAGTAGAATTTGTTTGTATTTAGGCAGATGGTCACTATTAGTGTAGTTAAAACTACTAGAAGATAACTTAATATTTTATTAGCAGTTTACTTTAGCGTACTTATTGTACAGAAATTATTTTTTTAAAACTGTGCTATATAGACTAGACAAAATGTATAGACTAGGCTGAACGTTTCAGACTTTGCCCATATTTGGCGTGTGTGCATGGGACAACAGATCAAAAGGGAAAAAAATTGTCTGAAGATTTTTTTCACAATTTTATGAGAGACCTTTCATATCGTCTGCTCTTGTGTGTAAATATATATGAGAATTAGTTTTAAAATTGAAAATTATAATTTTATTATTATTGATATTATTATTAATATTATTTTTATATTATTACTTAAGTAATAATTATAATAATAATGTGTTTGTGTGTGTAGACGACTACCCCATATATTTTAAAACAGTTTTTCTATATTAATTTTTATTTTCTCAATTGTTTTATTATCATTTATATTTTATTGTAAATTAATAAATGTTTCATAAATATACCTTGGATTGGGGATACAATGAGCGTTGAAATGATTTTTATCGGATAGAGATTTCACTATATTCAGTGTTATGTTATAACTCGAGTCTTGTTACTCTGTTGTTCATAAGTTTCTACGTTCGTTCGTTCGTTCGTTTGTTTTGTTTGTTTATTTGTTTGTTCGTGGCATTACATGCTTGTATGTTCACCCATTCAAATGTTTTTACGTTCGTACTTTTGCATCTTCGTTCTTACCGTTCATGTGTTTGTACGTTCATCAGTAAACGCGTTCATCGTTTGTTTGTTTGGTCTATTTTCTTATGTTCTTTTGTTCTTCAAATTAAATGTTGCGCTTTACATTTCAATATACTACAGGGCTTATTTCAAGATCTGCACCTACATATATGCACACCTCGACCCACACACACACAACACACACACACATACACACACACATTTAGAGATACATATAAATAACACACAAAAATTGAAATATGCACACACACACACACACATACACACACACATTTAGAGACACATATAAATAACATACAAAAATTGAAATATGCATACACTTTCGTTCACGCAATAGGTAGATGAGAATATTTTTCATTTAGTTCGTAGGTCGATAGCTGATTTTTCCATCAACATTATTTTTAATGATATTATTGTTGTTGCTATTATTATTATTTGTATTATTTATATTATTATTGCTATTATTATTTATTTATTTTATGTCATTATTTAGGCGCGAAATTCTTTCTGATCGAGTCTTCACTAAACTTTAGTTTTCGATTGACCGTGATGTTTATTTTTAATAAATAAGAAACTTTTCATTTTAATGAATGAATAAATTTGAGAAAATAGATTAAACTATTCCTGAAAACTGAAATTAATGATGAATTGTCCTTCTCATCATGATATAATAATATTATACAAGGATTTCGAATGCGATCTAGGAGGGGTTTTTTTCCTTAAGAAAAAATTGTTTTAAATTTATTTTAACAAAAGTTAAAGATGATAGAGTGCGTCATTAAGATATTTACGTGCAATATAATTAAATTAAATTGAAATATAAAAAAATTTTTATGAAAAATAAAAATTGAGTATATTAAATGAAAATGATATTTATAATCAGAATGTAATAGCGAGGAACGTGTGTTATGTTCATTAAATTTAAGTTGAGGATTTACTCTCAACTTATGGTACATGCATTGTCAGCAGAGATCATTATCTCATAATTTTTTAACGAATTTATATAAAAATGTTTAAAAATTGGTAGTTAACATGAGAAATTTTGACAAATTTCAAAAAGCGATTATGTAAACATGGATGTAAAACTCTAAAAATAATTATTTCTATACAAGATTTTAATTCTCGATAAATTATTATTGAAAAAAATTTGGACTAGAACGCAATTAATTGCTAACAATGGAAGTTTTGTAATAATTTTACAAAAAATTGGTACAGTGAGATAAAGAAGAACAGTTTAAATATACAGAAATGGAAAAATATTGCAAAGTACTAATCAGATAAAAGATGTAGAAACGAAATCGGTGTAAGAGTCAACAATGACGTCACCGTCATCTCGTCCGTCGTGTAGACTGCATTCTAATCCAGTACCATCATTCCTGCTACCGTGAATCGCACATCTGGATCTTCTACATCCGGTCAGTTTATCGCTGCCCCGTAAGTTTGACCACTTCAGTTGTTGGTCACTTTGTGAATGTAGCAAACTTTTTTGGGCTCCAACAGATTTGCAGCAGTTACCATTGTTACATTTGCTACCTTCCAGTAAGTGTTGGTCAGTCGAAATGCCTGGACACAAATAAACTGTGTTTCTTCTTTTGTGTTTTGATAACTTAACACTTTTCATTTCGACTTTTGATAGAGTGGAGGATTGGTGTTCGTGCGTTATGGGCTTGTTATGGGGGTCGTTTTGGGGGTTGTTAGGGCCGATCCTTTTATGTGGGTCCCCTTTGTAGATGCGAGATTCTTTCTGAGATGGGCCATTCTTATCATCACCTGATGCAGAAATTAAAGTTGAGGATTTGCTCTTGCGTCTGAAATGTATCAGCCTAAACAGTTTGAATGATTTTTTTGGCTTTTCTTCCATCTTTTTTGTAGTTTTGACATCTGGTAGGTGTTTGTTGGATGCTTTGAAGTTGCTTCTAGAGTAGGAACCGCAGCTGTCGTTGCTTCTGAAAGCAGCTGCAGTGTCCTGTGTGCCAGCCAACTTATAACGCGCATGGATATCATCTTTTCGATCATCATAGCTTCTACTCACCTTATCATAGCCCGCGCTAGAGACTCTCATATTGAAAGCCAGGCATTCAACCGGACTGAGAAACACTTCAACATCCTTGCCGTCCTCCCGGTCGTCAGTCATCATGGTCTTCATCTTCCTCATCAGCTTCCTCCTACGCTGGTACAACAAGAACAACACGACGACTACCACGCTGAAGGCCACTATGAATATCAAGGGAAACATAAACTCAAGTCTGGCGTAAAAGGGCGGAGCATTTTTGCGTTTCAACCAATAGGAATGTCGTTTTAGTTTGGCCTCTTTCACGGACGCTTCTAACTGGTCGTCAGGAGGCGTGGCTAATGTTAGCAGGCATTTTTTTGTCCCGACGTTGTTGTGGGTGGTCATTTTGAGGTTGTACCAAGTGTCTGGGCGTACCTTGACGTGGTGCAGTTGGGGCTGGTTTGGGGGGGGGAAGAAATAAATTATTATATTCATAATTAGCTCCAAAAATTCATTATTAAATAAAATGATATTACAGGATTTTCTCTCGTCTCAAAAACTTCAATCAAGGAAAGGAAATAATTTTTTAGTAATTTTCACAGTTTTAATGTCGTCTAACGATAAATATTTGTAAATGAATAAAACACAAACCAACCCGATGTCCACTCCCAAGATAACCACCCCCACCGGGGACCCTTCCATCAAACACTGTAAACCACTGTCCCTTACGAACCTCCCTCATTTTTATGGTGAATTTTATGACTGGACACTGCCCATCATCGTCATCATTATTATCAGGGTTACCATCATCATCATCATCGTCATCTTCATCATCACCATCATCTTTTTCATTCCTCCACCAAGGAGATAGATTGAGTGTAACCAGGCTGCTGTTGATGTGGTGGACGAGGCGGTGCTTCTCCGGACAGGTGACAGCTTTTTTGAAATTGGTTCAATTCTAAATTTATATTAGGTGGTTGAATTTTATTCTTATATTTATACATTCGTTCGTTAGTTCGTCTGTTAGTTCATGTTTTGCCTATTTCTTTCTACAATCATTTATTCGTTCGTTTGTTCGTTCGTTCATTCATTCATTCATTCATTCATCCATCCATTCATTCATTTAATCATTCATTCATTCAGTCAGCCATAAAATTTCGAAGCTTATATACTATTAAATGATCACAAACCTCTTCCAACTGTTCGAAACTGATAAATGGTTGATTTAAATGTGCCATAGTCACCATCATCATCATTATTTTTATTACTATTATTATTATTGTTATTGTTATTATTATTATCATTATCATCATCATCATCATCATCACCAGTAAATGGCTTGCGGGCTATATATAATTGGTAATGTTGATCACATTGCAGACTTGTAAGGATGTAACTTGTCTGCCTCAGTTGATAGCTAAGTGAAATGGTAAGTTCCCGCCATAAATTATTATTATTTTTATTATTATTATTATTATTACCAGCAGTAGTAGTAGAAGCAGTAATAGTAGTAGTAGTGGTGGTAGCAGTAGTACTAGAATCAGTAGCAGCAGTAGCAGCAGTAGTAGTAGCAGTAGTGGTAGTAGTATCTTTATTATTATTATTGTTATTATTATTACTATTGTGGTGGGGGTTTTTTGGGGGATAAATGTTAGCACTATAATTGTCGTTATCATCACCAATATATCTGTTGTTAATTCCAATATTATTATTATTATTATTATTATTTGTAGTAGTAGTAGTAGGAGTAGTAGTAGTAGGAGTAGTAGTAGTAGTATTAGTAGTAGTAGTAGTAGTAGTAGTAGAAGTAGTAGTAGTAGTAGTAGTAGTAGTAGTAGTAGTAGTAGTAGTAGTAGTAGTAGTAGTAGTAGTAGTAGTAGTATTCACTTCATCCTCATCATCTTCATCGTCGTTTCCCAAAATGCGATGGAGGAAGTACTGACTCTTGTGTAGTAAGTATTCATCGACAAAGTTGTTGCTACTGCTGCTGCTGCTGCTGCTGCTGTGGTCCTGGTGGTTGTGGCCGTTTGTTTTCAAAAAATTTAATAAACTCTTTGTTATGTTGTCTATGTTTAGTATGACGTCATCGTTGTTGCCGTTGTTGTTGTTGTTATTTTCATCATCGTTTTCATTATTTAGATTCTCTACAATCCTGTACTTAATGAGAAAATCATGTAGAAACCCATTTTGAAAATTGGAAACTCCATCGGTTTCACTTCCGGTTTGTCGAGACCACGTGATTTCCGCTCTGCAGCAGGAAAGAGGTGTTACTTTGAATTTCGGGAGTTGAGATACTGTTGGATAAATAAACAGATGGATGGATGGATGGATGAAAGAACGAGTTGATGGATGGATGATTGAATGGATGGATATATAGATATTATATGGATGGGCGAATTTGCATGAAATGTTTGTGTTTGTGTGTGTGTGCGCGTGTGTGCGTGTGCATGTATTGAAATTTTAATTTTGCTATATACCAAACCAACCAATCATATGCACGGTGTAATTTATACTGTCTCGGCCGATAGAGTTGCTAGCCGTGCATTCGTACATCCCTACTTTTGATGACGTCATGTGGCTTATTTTGATGCTGCTGTGGCTGCTGTTGTTGATGTGGCTTGTGTTGTTGATGAAGCCACTGTGGCTGCTGTTTTTGTCTTTGTCGCTGCTGGCTAAAGCCTCGTTGCTACAGTTTTAATCCAATTGAAATTTTTGTTTCTGCTAATATATAACCAATATATTATCGATTTTATCCAATTATTTTTTAATTATTTATTAATTATTGTAATCCACGCAAATATTTTTTGCTGTATTTAAAGTGGGTAATCATTTCAGATGCCATGTCGCGTCACACAATCAACACAACTCATCATACCTAGGAAAAAATCTCCATGTTATCGTTGGTCTCGGATATCCAATGAGCACGCTGCAATGTAGGTTAGCCTGACCGTATTTGTGAACTTTGACCTCTCTTGACCCTTCCCGTATTTCTGGCTTAACTAACAAGGTAATAAATTAAGGGCGTGAAATTATTTATATTAAAATGTTTTATGAATTATACTAATTCGTTATTGTATTATGATGGCTCAGTTGGTAGTTTCTAACTCTGACAGGGTTCGAACACAAAAAGAGCCAGGAAGCGTTGAAGATTTTTGCTTAAGATGAGTTGTTGGTGGAATCCATAAAATGTTGGTCTTATTGCAACCGTATTTCAATTTACACGCAACTGCTGATGTGTAAATACTAATCGTAAAATCTCAAATTCCCCAAAAAATATCCCGTGAAAATAAATCCCAAAACATTCCATACTTTGATCGACAACCGTTACGATGGTTTCGCTGGAATACGCTCCCATTCCGGCTTCAGTAGATGCTCTGACCTTGACCGAGTAGTTCGTTCCCAAGGTCAGGTTACGAAGAACAATGTGAAGGTCGTTCGTTTCGAGTACGGATTGATTGGTGGGTAGGATAGATTGATAGGTGGCTGTTTGTTGGACTGATACAAGATATTTGAGGATGATACCATTTTGAAAGAGAGGAGGGGACCAACTTACGTAAACTTCATTCGGCCGGGATGGTTTAGCTTGCACATCCCTTGGTTCACTTGGAACTGTTACATGGTATAAATATTAATTATTTAATTTGTGGTAAGGCAGGTCGGAACAGTTTTTACTGAATTCTAGTGATAATGTTGATAAAATAAATTAGAAACGCATTTTTAAATGATAAAAATAAAAATTCCAATAGATAATTCTTCACAGGCCTCGCTTGGTGTTAAAAATGTTATGAATAAATAAAGCGTTGTTCTGGTCGTTTGATGAATAAATACAATGGATTAACTGATAAGTTTTTTTATTAAATTAATCTAAAAAAATTAACAAAAGGCAAATTGGTCAACCGACAACAACAGACAAACCACAACAAACAACAACAAAATACAAACAAACATTAACAGACAAACCACACCATCTTGTTGTGTTTGGAACTGTAAGGGATCCGAGCCAGGCCCGACACCAGCCTTTGTATACGGTGATATGAGGATAGTGTAATTGCTGTAGGCTGTCAAGTTTGTTATTGTTATCCAGGTGGCTGATGTTGTTAATGTTTTTGCTGTTGTGGTTGTTGTTGCTGCTGAAGCTGCAGCTGCTGAGAAGGAAGAGGAAGAAGAGGAGGAGAAGGAGGAGGAAGATGTTGATGAGGATGAAGAAGATGTTGATGGGGATGATGAAGATGTTGATGCCGCTCCATCCATTCCTAAAATATTTAAACGGATCAAGAAAATTAATATTTTAACATTTTTTTTTAAATTAATTATAACAATTAAATGCCCAACGAGGGTTGCTTAGGTGGGGCAAATAAGAGGTGACTATACTGGTCTTCATAAAAAAAATGTTATTATAAATTATCAAATTATCATCAATTCTATCATTGTATCATTTTCATTAATGATATAGCAGATCATCATCATCTTTATCGTTATCATCATCGTCATCATCATTGTCATCATCATCATTATAATCATCATCATCATCGTCCATCACCATATTTGTCCATCGTTTGGCCATCACCATTCCCATCTTCACAATTCTCACCATATTTAACGATGTATCCCAGAATTATTCCGTTGGGATATCTCGGAGGAAACCAGGATAGATGGACGGAGCGAGAGTCCAGTGGATGAATGGCGATGGATTGCACGCTGTCAGCTGGAACTTTTATAAATTTTAAATTATTTTATTTAATAAACTTGATTTATGGAAAAATTAAGTAGTAGTAGTGGTAGTAGTAGTAGTAGTAGTAGTAGTAGTAGTAATAGTAACAGTAGTAGCAGAAGTAGTAGTAGTAGTAGTACTAAAAGTAGTAGTAGTAGTAGTAATAATAGTGGTAGTAGTAGTAGTAGTAATAGTAATAGTAGTAGTAGTAGTAACATCATCATTATCAACAACAACATCAACAACGACATCATCAACAACGACATCATCAACAACAACATCAACAACAACATCAACAACAACATCAACAACAACATCAACAACAACATCAACAACAACATCAACAACAACATCAACAACAACATCAACAACAACATCAAAAACAACAACAACATCAATAACATCAACAACAACAACATCAACAACAACAACATCAACAACAACATCAACATCAATAACATCAACAACAACAACATCAATAACATCAACATCAACAACAACAACAACAACATCAACATCAATAACATCAACAACAACAACAACATCAACATTAACAACAACAACATCAACATCAATAACATCATCAACAACAACAACAACATCAATAACATCAACATCAACATCAACAACAACAACATCAATAACATCATCAACAACAACAACATCAACAACAACAACATCATCAACAACAACAACATCAATAACATCAACAACAACACCAACAACAACATCAACAACAACAACAGACCATCTTCATAGGTTCTGGCAGCAACAGGGCTCAATGGAGTCGGTCCATGTCCTATGGAGTTGAAAGCAACAACTACAAACATGTACCAGGTGTCTGGTGTCAGGTTTGAGATGTGTATCTTTGTTGATGTTGTTGTTGTTGCTGATGTTGATAGTGATGACGATGCTGTTGTTGTTGTTGATGATGATGATAATGATGTTGATGATGATGATGATGTTGATGATGATGATGATGCTGTTGAAGATGAGGACGATGACGATGATGATGATGACACATCGTTTGAGTTCAAATAGCTTTTAATGTTGTTGTTAATGTTGTTATTATTATTGTTATTATTGTTGTTGTTGTTGTTATTATTGTTGTTGTTTATAAATTCTAACAGGTTTTTATGACAACTTTTAAGAAAATCATCATCATCATCATCGGATTCTTCATCATCATCATCATCATCATTGTTAGCATTATCAACACCATTATCATCAATAACTTTGTTAGCAGTATTGACATTATTTTTATTATTAGTAGTAGTAGTAGTAGTAGTAGTAGTAGTAGTAGCAGCAGCAGCAGTAGTAGTAGTGGTGGTGTTATTGTTATTACTCTTTATGTGGTTGTTGCTAACTTTATTATTATTATTATTGTTGTTGTTGTTGTTGTTGTTGTCGAAGTTGTTGCTGTTGTTGTTGTCGTTGTTGTTGCTGTTGTTGTCGTTGTCGTTGCTGTTGTTGTCGTTGTGGCCGTTGTTGTTGTTGTTTAAACACGGCTGCCAAAATATTTGGTAGCCGAGAAGTTTGCCGTTAGTTAGCTTTTTATCGGGTGGCTGGTCAAATAAAAAATAAATTGCTAACATTTCATTTCAATCACTTTTTTACATTCAGCTGTTCTAACGGGACGGGCTCTGATGGGAAAAATAAATTTCCCGCCAATAATAGACTCCCGCCAACTTGAAATCCAAAACTAATGTTTTGAATTTCAAAATAGGTGATGGCTTAAACGAAAATTGAACTATTCGGCCCTTCACTCTTTCAATATGGCCTAAGCCAATGAGCCATCTTTGGTGTAGTGATTGAAAAGTATGTGATTCTGCTTAGCTGTAGTATAGACCAGGTTCGAATTCAAACCAATCCTTCTTCATCATACGTACGTATTTACACATTCGGTCGCCAGTGAAACTTTTGAGAAAAAAAAACCCATCGCTATTGCTATAAACACACACGCACGCACGCACACACAAACAAACAAATACACACACACACACAAGCACCTGAACAGACAAACACATACACATGAACAAACAAACACACACATATACTATTTCTTCTTTTGCCAAGCTACATTATAGAATAAAATTATAAGATTACATAAATTTATTTAACATAACTTAAATAATATTATTAATAATATATAACGAAGTATAATAATATTTCATAATGTAAAATGATAAAAACAACATTAATAACAATAATAATAATAATAATAATAAAACCTTCCATCCTAGGTAGACAGATCTAGAATTCTTCGTCATAACTTTAAGGTCTCTGACCTGCGCTCTTGGGGCTGCCAACAAAATTTAATTCTTGTTGAATTTGTATTAAAAAACATTAAATATCATTATTATTATATATTAAAAATAGTATTTGAAATAATTAAAATAATAATTATTATTATTATTGTTGAATAATTTTCATTTATATTTTCACTTATCTTGTTTGAAATTAGTATAATGTTGCGTGTTGCAAATTTAGGGCTACATAATAACGAGATGACATATCAAACTATGCGTAACAGCAAAACAAGTAAATTAAATATATTTAAATTTTTTAAATATTAAAAAAATGAATAAAACAAATAAATAAAACCAATAAATGAACAAAAAAAGTCGCGTGATTCCAACCTCCCTGCTTGCATTTGAAGCCGGTAACTTGTGACCAGGCGCTCGAGCCGATGTCATTAAGACTCTGGATGGAGACCTTACATAGCGTTCCTGGGTTGAGGTTTCTTAAGCGAGTGACATGTCGTCTGTTGTTGTTGTTGATGTTGTAGTTGTTGTTGTTGTAGTTGTTGATGTTGTAGTAGTTGTTGTTGTAGTTGTTGTTGTAGTTGATGTTATTGTTGTGGTTTTCTTTACTAATAGTGTTACTGCTATTATTATTATTGCCTTCCTGATGTGCATACCACACATAAACGACACTCTGGCGTTTGTAATTATAATTATTGTTATTATTATTATTATTATAATTATTGTTATTATTATTATTATTATTGTTGTTGTTATTATTATTATTATCATTATTATTATTGTTATTGTTGTTGTTGTTGTTGTTATTATCATTACCAGCATCGTTGTAGATGACTATATCATACTTAGTGACATTCCATGTTCTAGTCAGTTTAAATTCAGATTTTCTTGCTCTCCTCCTCCGGTAAAGTATTTTTGATCTTTGGTTACTAACGTCATCATCGTCATCGTCGTCGTCTACTACAGCGATGACGTCATCATCGTCGTTGTCAGCCTCATCATCATCATCATCATCATCATCATCATCCCTGGCAACATCATTATCATCATCATCATCATCATCATTGGCAACACCATCGTCATCATCGTCTGCCGTGACGTCATCATCATCTGCAGTGACGTCATCTTTATTATCGTCATCGTCATCATTGTCGGCGTAATCATTGTTGTTGTCCTTAGGGTTGTCATTATCATTATTATTATTATTATTATTATCATTGTTGTTATTATTATTATCTTTACCTCTTTCCTTTTCATCTTCTTCCTCGTCGTCATCACCCCTTTTATAAAAACTACCTTGTTTCTTTAAAGACTCTCTACCATTATCATCATCATCATCATCGCTGACGTCATCATCATCATCATCAAAACCGCACTCCATCATCAATCGATACCCCTTAACTCCATGAACGCCAGCACCCTCATCATCTTCATCATCACCATCTTTTTTCCCCACCGCCCACTCCACAACAGCATCACGTGACGTGACGTCATAGATTCGCACATCCCTGGGAACTTCCGGGACCGATAGAACATTCAACCGAATAGTCGTAACATCCCTGCCGTACCTATTCTGCGCTGTGCAGTGGTACATGCCGGCGTCCGATCGCTGGACGTTGCTGATTGTCAGTGTCGAAGTCTGCTGGTTTGAATGCAAGCTCCGCGAGGTCACTTTCAATCTGTTGGGTCGTGTGCGTGTGTTTGGGTGCCTTGTGTCAATCAAGCTAACAGAGAACGAACGTTTCATTTTGTGAGCGGAGTTAATAACAACAACCATAACAACCAGCCAACCAGTCAGCCAACCAACCAGCCAACCAGTCATCCAACCAGTCAGCCAACCAACCAGCCAACCAACCAACCTGTCATCATCAAACCAGCTGATTGACAACTTATTGAAACTCCAACCAATCGAAATTGGCAGATCGCCTGTAGCTGCGCATTGTAGTTGAATGTGGTTGTCGTTCTGCGTGGCTGTTATCGTGTGGATGTCGTTGGCGTTGTTGTGGCTGTTGTTGTTGCTGTTGTTGTTGTTGTTGATGCTGTTGTTGTTGCAGTTGTTGTTGTGGCTGTTGTTGATGTTGTTGTTGTTGTAGTTGTTGTTGTTGTAGCTGTTGTTGTTGTTGTTGTTGTTGTTGTTGTTGTTGTTGTTGATGTTCTTATTGACGTCTTTGAAATTGATGTCATTTTTCTTTGCCCCTTCAGTAGTCAGACGATGATTTTTATTAATGTCATCATTGTAAGGATTCAGCTTTCTTGACGATGACTTCGACGAAGATGACGATAACATTTGAGATGATGGCTTCCAGTTAACAAACCTTGGCGGTGCTGATGAAAAAAAGTATTTCGAAAGACACCAGTAAAATAAACTTCATTTTTCAAGTAACTTCTCCCAAAATTACACAACAAAGTATTATTACGTTTAAAGGTGAAAATACACCCAAAGTACACGGTACACATTCACTATAAATTATGTACATGCCATGGTATTTTATTTGAGATACCTCTATGAGTGGTTTTAATGATTTAGTTAACCGAAAATTGAATCTGAATTTTGATTGATGTCGAACTGCTTCAGTAAAAGTGATTGAATGAGGCGGATTTTGTTTTAATTTAGACCGTGTTGCGTGTTAATATATTATAATAATTAAGGGAAAAAAGATGGGAGAGCCCTAACTCAACCTACCAGCCAACCAACCAACTGTCAAACTAACCAACCAACCAACTATCAAACCAACCAACCAACTATCAAACCAACCAACCAACCGGCCAAACAACCAACCATCTAACAAACCAGCAAATCAACCAACCATCCAATCAATCAACCAGCCAGCCAACCAACAACAAGCCAGCCAACCAACAGACCTCTAATTATAATGACGACCATCTTGCTTACGTCATCGCCAATGTTATTGCTGACGTCACAGAGGTACTCACCTTCGTCATCTTTCGTCGACTTCATTATCATCAGCGTTCCGTTCGCGTGAGCGATCGGTGGTGACGATGATGACGATGACGACGATGAAGATGAAGATGGTGAATATTCTCCGGATCTGCTGACTGATCTTACATCCATGTATGCAACTTGTTGTCCGACTTTTTCGTTGTTTGGAAGTGTGTTTGTAGGTGTGTTTGTGTGTGTGGGATGTGTAATGTGTATGTGTGTGTGTGTGTGTGTGTGTGTGTGTGTGTGTGTGTGTGTGTGTGTGTGTGTGTGTGTGTGTGTGTGTGTGTGTGTGTGTGTGTGTGTGTTATAGATATGAATGAACAATGTGTGAATTTGGATGGGATTGAAATTATCTGAAATAATTAAACTCAAAAGATGAAAAAAATAAATGAATGAATGAACAAATGAATGAATGAACAAATGAATGAATGAACGAATGAATGAATGAATGAATGAATGAATGAATGAATGTATGAACGAATGAATGTATGAACGAATGAATGTATGAACGAATGAATGGATGAACGAATGAATGTATGAACGAATGAATGAATGAAAGACCAGCTTTACTAACTCGTAACTTTCTTCCTCCAGGATATCTGAGGTGCTGGCACTCCGTCTGCCTGGCAATTAATAACCACATCCTTGCCCATCACTACTTCCTGTTTTGAGGGTGGTTCCCTGATCCAATATGGCGGCACTGTTGTGTCCGGTTTAAATGTGTGCGTGTGCGTGTGTATAATTCATGATTCCATTTGTTTTTTGTTCTTGTAATGTTTGAAAAGTTGTATAATGGTAATACGTGAGATGAGGTGATTTTACTGATCATTCAAGTTAACATTTAGCCAAACAACATACCAGCTAACCAACCTATTAATTAATCGATCAATCGCACAAGAAAACAAACATCAAACACATACCAAACAAACAAACAAATAAACAAGCAAACAAATAAACAGAAATAAGCACACAAACGCCATCACTCAACTAACTGACCATCAACAAACAGCCTGCTTGTATGTTGAACCTTGCCAGCTCGGTTGCTAGCAACACAGCTGTACCAACCTGCGTGGGCGCTACCAACCTCTTCTATGTACAACAAACTTGAAAATGGACTGGTCATCTGGGTGGGTGTGCAGCACGAAAATAAAGTCTCAACATGTCTGTGAATGAATGCTAATCATGAAGTTGAAAACTGTTAAACAGCCTTAACTGCGATATTTTAATTTCAACTTAAGCCAAATCCATTCATCGTTTACATTGGCACCTAATGACATATTGTAGGAATTAAACTATAGAATCTGAACTTGAACTTTGACCGGAAAGCGTTTGCGTCACTATATCCAATATTTAGCGGGATGGCTCAATGATTAAAAGCGCCTGGTCTTGCTATTGCAATGACTGGATTCGAATACAAAAAGATCTCCCACCTATCATACGCAATGTGTATGATGCGTGGTTTGCACGCGTATTCATCTACGCTGTGTGTGTTTGTCGTTGAAACCTATGAAGCAAACACAAGAGAGAGAGAGAGAGAGAGAGAGAGAGAGAGAGAGAGAGAGAGAGAGAGAGAGAGAGTAACCTTTAACCTTTAGCTACTACGGATCATCAACCAAGGTCATTATTTACAAAACTTATGACGTCATTGCTACTCTTGCTTCCGGTAAAATTTTGAAACTTCCTACACGCAGCCGATAGATAGTTTATCGTAATGTTTCGTAATCGAGTAAAAATATTTGTGGTTTTCGTTCCAGTATAAGGAAAGAGTTTGCTGTCGGTATGTCCTAAAATTTTATATCAAAATTATGTTATTATTATTATTATTATTATTGAGTTATTTTTAGCACTCCTAAATAGAGCTCAGTAAGATGTAATTGAATATAGTTGGATGTACGACTTGATTTAAGAAAGTTTCTGACACTAACCTATCTATACTATTCCCAATAAAACCTGTTGTTCTACATAAGTGTTCATTGGCAAAACACAAATCAATCCATCCATCTATCCATCCATCCATCCGTCCGTCTATCCATCCCTCCGCCCGTCCATCCATCCATACATACATACATACACACACACACACATATATACTTTCACACATATATTCACACATACATACATCCACACATACACACGGTCAAACAAACAAATACATACACACATTATTTAATCATACATCATCCATACCACCTGTCTCCAACGACTCCATGATGAATTACCTTATCATGTTCGTATTTGTATGTCTGTGTGTATTTCTAACATGTGTGTGTGTGTTTGTCTTCCTATATGTTTGTCTGTATGTGAATGTATGTGTGTTGCTCTTGATAAAAGTGCACGCGTGTGTATGTTGATGTCAGATAGTGTGTATAATTATGTAGTTATCATGCTGGAGTGTGTGTGTGCGCGTGTGTGCGTGTGTATGTGTGTGTCCGTGTGAGAGTTCCATTTTTTAATTTCCCGCGAAAAAAATCATTTCACCTGTATATTAATCATGGATTTTGGGATGGATGAAGATAAGTAGGAGGAGGATGATGGCGATGATGCTGTTGATGACGACCACAATGAAGATGATGAAGTCATCGCGGAAATATTGGCGCCATCTTTCATCCAGTAGATGAGGAGCGGAGCGTCGCCACCACTGACCACACAACTCACGGACACTCGGTCGTTTAGTTTTTTACGCGGAAAATTGAAATCATCAATCACAGGCTTCTCTTGGTGGGCAAAAAATGTGTTAATCATCAATAGAAGGGCAAATATTTTATTTTTTGGGTACAATATAAATATTTTTTAAAAATAGTTTTTAACTTAATTATCTTTCAACAAATATGTAAATAAAGAACCAAAATAAATCACAATGAATCGTAAATTTTTTCTTTTTCTCGCAAAATTCAACAATTTTGTAGTATGAACATTTCTAAAGCAAACATAACGTGAATGCATGCAAAGCAAATATTAGTAACAACTAATTTTTAGCAGACAGCAACAACAACAACAACAACAACATTTGGATCTTAAATCACAACAACAACATTTGGATCGAAAGTCACAACAACAACAACAAAAAAAACAACATTTTGATCGAAAGTCACAACAACAGCAACAACATTTGGATCTAAAGTCACAACAGCAACAACATTCGGATCTAAAGTCACAACAACAAACAACAACAACTACTACGAACAACAACAACTTGACCAAACTGTTCACCTAACAAAGTGAGGTTCACATCCCTCTTCATTCCAACTCCATTCATATCAGTGGCCTCGCATGTGTACACTCCACTGTCGACTAACTTGTTCGTTGTGGATATCATTAAGGAGTTGTTCGAAATTATTTTTTGCCGTAAGTTATTCGGTAGGCTGATGGAATCTGTGTTTATAAGTTTGAATATTTAATAGAAAATATTACCTAAGTGAGTTGTTTGATTGGTGAGAGAGCCGGCTTTCATCTCAAAGTGGCCGACTTCAAATGCAAATGAAACTACGTCAATTTGGAGTAAGTTTGTAAAGGTCTGATTGACGCGTTCATTTGCAAACAAGTTGCGTTGTGTTTGTATGTTTGATAATGTTAATGTTTTGTTAATGTTAATGTTAATGATATGTTAATGATATGTTAATGTTAATGTTTATATGTTTGATAGTGTTAACTTCTAGAAACTACAGAACCGACGATCGAGATAAAACTCTTAAATGGGAGTGTTATTTTTTTTATCTTGATGTTATATGTTAAAATTTCAATTAACTTTTAGTCCAGGTGATCTGGTGGATGGGGTAGCCAACGACAACGCATGGAAGAAGAATGACGTCACTAACAACTCCAACAACATCCTTCATCTTTCTTATGAAGGGCACGCCTTGAAGATATATTGCAGTTTTAACTTAACGAATTTACAAAAAAAAATCTTTTCTTTGTTGTGTTTTTCATTATTTCATTTTTTAGCACGTTATTATAATTTAATTTTAAAACACAAAATATCTATCGAATATTTCCCACCAAAAACTTCCAGTCTTTCGGAGTGTACAACCGTCCCGTGTGCATTCCCAACGTGACAGGAATACAAGCCACCATCTTGTACAGTAACGGAAGAGATCACGACTCTACTCAGGACATCACCATTGGCCAGCATCTGACGGCTGAGATGATAATTTTTGAAATCATTAGAAGTGAAGTTGACTGTGGAACCGTCTCGAAGCCACGTTATGTTGGGTGCTGGCACGCCCCTTCCTACACACTGCATGCCTACGTCGGGGCCTGCCGGACTAAACATTTCTTCAAATGATTCTATTATTTCAGGTCTGGAAGCTGAGAATTTTTGAAGAAATATTTAAATTTTTTCGTTTGAGAATTTTCGTTAATTACTTTATTTAAAAGATTTTTAAAAGTTTAAATGAGAATAATTTGAATAGAAATATTTATACAAAATATTTGATATAACAGCTCATGTACCTGCTAGCTTTAGTTGAGCCGTGGCATAAACGGTTACATCCTTTCTCAAAACAAAACACTGGTACATCCCAACGTCCGTTGCGGCCATTTTGAATATAATTAAAACGTGTCCGCCATTTTGAATCGCGTGTGAGTTTGAGGAGGTGGTTAGTTTTTTCCCGTTTTTGTACCATGTAATAATTGTAGTGACGTCATTTCCGGATATGATGCATTTAAAAGTGATGGGCTGAGTTATGTTGGCCTGAATAAATTCTGGCTCCATGAAAACTATCAGTGAAGCTGTTTGTAAATATGTAGGATATTAAGATATAATTACTTAACTGTAAGCCAGAATCTTATTGAACATCATAGTGATTGGTGGCGTGTAATGCGTGGATTCAAGCGAAAATACATCGAGTAAGCCATAAAAAAATGTACATAGATTATAAAATGTAAATCAACTTGATCTGTGTGAGATATCTGAGTTGTATGGCGACGCTCTGCGCATAATATTAGGTTTCAATAAATTAAGTCTATAAATTTGAACAAATAAATAATAAATTGTATGTGCGTGCAACTTTTTTTGAATTTGAAAATTATTTCGACGACAAGTGGCTAACGTGTGACAATCAGCATCGTGTCTCTATGTGGCGATCCAAACGGAGAGTCCGCTACACATCTGTACACACCAGCGTCTCGTGACTGAACCTTCTTGACCAATAAGGAATGACCTTTCAACTTTATTCTTTCATTGGCTTGTATTGGGACCAGGGCATCTAAAAAATAAGATTGATTTATTTTCCGGTTTGTGTTCGTGGAAATTATAGCGTTAAAAGCAGTAAAATTTAGGTAATTCATCAGTCATAGGAAATAGATTTCAACATTTTTCAACACAGCAACCTGTACCTCGTGACAGATGACCATCACCATCAACCGATCTAAACCACTGAATTTTCAGGTCAGTTGTTCCTCCGATTGCTTCACAAACCATCAAAACTTTTCCACCCTCATTAACTGTCAAAATTTCACTGAAGTTGAACATTATTGGTTGGCTAGGCGCTTCAATCCCTGTTAAATAAAAGATGATTTCATGGAATTTGGCTAACCTTTTTATAGTACTATGTAACATTATGCAAATTGTGTTTTACGTTTTATGTAGATCATTTGTTTTCTATATCTAAACATATTGAACATTCATTTATTTAAATTAATGTAAACCATGTAAGCGCGTCTCTGTATTTGAAACCAGTTGAAATGACATTGTGGTTAAGTTGAGCGCTATGTCATTCTATCGCTGCCTTTTGGATTTAATGGGTTATTTTAGGGGTGGGCAAGCTGCGGCCCCATGCGGCCCGCTAGGCCTAGACATTATGACCAAAAAAAGAGCCACAAATTTTAAAAAGAATTCTCCCTTGGGTCGAAAAAATTTGCTATTTAAAAACATATGCGGCCCTTCAGAGGTAAAATAGTTCTCAATGGGGCCCTCAGAGCAAAAAGTTTGCCTACTCCTAAGTTGTTTCATTAAATAAAAAAGACAATTCATTCAACACTATAAAATAATTTATTCATTTTCTAACTTGAAAAAACGAATTCAACCTTATTCTTTAAACTCATTTCAATGACAACTCATATAATTATAGGCTGTATGTGTAAAGTTAGGAAATAAAAGTATATCATTGAACAGTGCTAACTTTTTGGATGGTTGATTTGGACTGGCTGGCTTGCTGTGATCGCATTCGTCAGAGTGTTGTTAGTGATGCATCTAAAAGATTTAGTTGCTATCTCCTCCGTGACGTTTCTAATTATTAGCAAGTTTTTGTTGAAGTTGTTGTGTTTGTTGGTTACTAAGTTGTTGATGTTGTTGTTGATTTTGTTGTTGTTGCTGCTGAAGATGTTGTTGTTGTTGTTGTTGCTGCTGCTGAAGATGTTGTTGTTGATGTTGTGGATGTTGTTGTTGACCTTGAATTGGTTGTTGGAATCACTGACCGTGATATATTTTTCGTCTTTTGGCAAGCATTGACAATAATAATAATGTTACTGATAAAAATTTCAACTATTAATATAATTATTTATATATTTCTATAATTATTTATAAATATTTAATATAAACAGATTCTTAAGAGACAACGATAATATAAATGTATCTTCCCAATTATTATTTGAATAAAAATTTTATGTAATAATCACGTGATATCGTATATGGATCATCATAATCATCACTCCCATCGTCATCATCGTCATCATCCTAACAGTCATCATCATCATCATTCCCATTGTCACCATCATTATCATCGCCATCATCATCCTCATTATCATCATTCCCATTGTCACGATCATCACCATCATCAGCATCGTCATCATCATCACCATCATTTTCACTGTCGCGATCATCATCATCCCCAACATCATCATCACCACCACCATCCTAACCAT